TCCCCCCCCCCCCCCTTTTTTAATACCTTTTCCTTTCAAACCCATGTACGACCGATTTTTTGTTTTGTTTTGTTCCCCACCTCTCAGTTTAAAGTAAAGAAGACAGGTTGTTTCTCTTTGTTTTTCTAGCTTTTCCTCCTGATCATGTAGGAATTGTTTTATGGTAAATGTTGTTGTTGTTTTTATTATTATTATAATTATTATTATTAATAAAAGACAAAAGGAATTTCTGTTTGAGAGAAATTTTTAACTAGATTCTGTTCTATTTGAATTGTGACTTGCACCTTTTGTTCAAAGTATTTTATTTCTTTTTAATGACATTGTAATTGTGACTGGTTTTTTCTCTTGTGCCAGTGGCAGAAGTGGTGTTCTCCTTTATACAAATTCAGATGTGCATAGATCTCTTCTTTCTCATTCGTTTTAATTTCTTTCCTTGACTGATAGAAACCAATGCCCCCTCCAGTGGTTGGGGCTAAGGGAGTATTTTGTGTCATCATTGCCTTTGGAACTTTAAAAGCTACAACTGAAAATTCCTATTATTGACACTTTTTTGGAATTTTTTTTTTAAATAAAGGAAAAATCAATCCAACCCTCTGAATTTGCACAGAAGGAAGTGTGAGACCAGCATGGCAAAGGTTAATTTGCTATCACCATCTCTTCCCCAAAGCCCCCCCTGGCAATTGTCATCAATGGACCTGCAATGAGAAGAAACGGAGAGGGGAGGGGAGAGAAGAAATCTGCAACTGACAAACATACCTCCCAGCTCAATGTTTCTAGAAAGCCTAATGTCACTCTGGTTTTATTGGTGTGTAGTTGTCAAGTTACATTTTCTTTAACATGTAAAATAGACGGTGTGTGTTGGGGTGGGGGTGGGGGACCCAGACAGGGCTTGCCGGACTTCAGTGAGAAGGTACCAAGAAACACTGAAAGGCTTTTTGACATTGCTCTGTATCTTTGATTTGTTTTCCTTTTGTTTACATGACGTATTTCTGGGAGAGTTGACAGCCGCCCTACAGTAGCCATCCAAAAGAAAAGCAGGGACTTGCTTAACCGTGCCATTTCGCAGTATCACACTTTTTTATCATTGCTTTGTATTGTAGTAATCAATACGCGCAGTATATGTTGAATGTATATTAATATACTTTGCTATTATTTCTGTTTTTTGGAAATGTCCGAAGTATTTTTTCTTCCTCGTTTATGCTGGACTGAAAACAAACAACTTTCAGTAAATCTTTAGTCCATTTTTTGTGGGTCACTTGCAACTAGTAACTTAGTTGGACAGTGGGATCATGACAAATAAAATCATGATTATGATCTTGTGATCTCTTGTTTGTGGTGTTGCTCAATATCTGATGCAAAGGAGAAGCCAGCCCAACTTGGATTCTCTGAATAGCGTCCCTGCAGTGTGCCAGGGTTGGCTGCTCTCCAGTTGCTGCATGTTTCAGTCTGTTATCCAACCTGCCATATGAAATCTCCCTTGTGGTGATCTCCTGACTTTCCAAAGCTGAAATAGACAGAATGGGGGCTCCTGCATAACATGTGGAAACAGACTCCCTCGACCTGCTGAACGCCTCAGGATGAAACTTACTAACACAGCGGTTTTCAGCCTTTGGTCCACAGACTATGCCTGAGATTTCCAAAGGGCTCCGCACCTCCATTCAACATTTGTTAGGGGTCTGCAAATGAAAAAAGGTTGGAAACCACTGTACTAACACATTGCTGGAAGGTGCGTGGTCAGGGGCTGGGCATAGGGAAGTGTCAGGGGGTGGGAAGGTCTTTGCCCGTTCTTTCCAAATGGACAAGCACTTCCCTAGGCTAGATGGCCTTTAATACACTGACTGTCAATGGATCGACTTCACTGTGCATCCACGTGCAGCCAATTGTTTTTAAAGGTAGCACAGCCCTCACTTAAGAAGCTCCCTGGCTTCTGGTAGTGCCTGTTCATTCTCTGTCTGGGGCAGCTCCTGCCCTGAGTGCCCCAGATCCGCCCCACCCCTGTGCCGTTTCTCTCTTTGAGCCAGGCCAGAAAGGCGGGAGCCAGCTTGACCAGCCACGTGTGATAATGAAGCAACTGGTGCAGTAAATCCAGAGCATGCTGGCGTCTTTCAGCAGGAGCCCTTGCTGGCCCCATGATCGGATCCCCTTGGTGCAACTGGGGTGAATTCTCTGCCCTCTTGTCTCTGCTGCTGAATTATCCCAGCAGCTCATGCCCATGTCTGCAAAGAGCAAATCATTTCCCTTGCAATGGACCAGATTGCACCAATTGCCAGGTCGCTGCCCAGGGCCGATCTAATCCCCCCTTCACACCACACGGCCTGCAGCCAGTTGAACACTGGGTTGTGCTGCCCATGGGGCACTCCACAGGTTGGGCGGCGGCGAAGGGCTGCCTCCTGCTATGGCTGTGAAGAATCTTGTCCATTTAAATGGCCAGAAAAAGGAGTTGATTCCCTGGCCTGAGCCCTCTTCCCCTGGCCCCATACAGGCCAAAGGGGAAGTGCTATGGGGCGAGCCCCCTGTTCCTCAGGACATTGCTTAGGTAGGTGGCTTGGTTTAGGATAGTCTCGGCTCTGGAGGTCGTCCTCAGGGCTGAGCCTGGGAATTGAGGGAGTTTGTCAGAGGCCGTGGCAGGCTACTGGGAGGCCAGAGCGTTTGGTATTGCAGACTTTGAGCCCCACCTCCATTCCAGTGGTCCTACGCCCCCCATTGCACACAGCACCACAGGACTCAGCGCTATCTGCCTGGCAGGTTCCCATTTGCCTGAGCCCTGGCCTGGCCTGCGCTGGGCACACGAGGCGACCTGCGAGTGGTTATTTTAGAGCTGGGGTGGGGGGGTATGTGGTGGCTAGTGCACGTTTCATTGTTTCAAAAGAAACAGACGGGGGCCTGAGGTGTCCTGAGGATGCAAATCTTGCCCACTGGCTCCCATCGAATCTCAGGGGCTTCTGAAGGACTGGGGGTAGGGAGGGGTCCCAATGTGGCTGGTGGAAAATCTGGGTCAGCCAAAGCGTAAACAGCCTAGCTGGTCTGGAGGCTCCCGCTGCAGGAGCCTGTTTGTTCTGGCCTCTCCGCCCAGGCAGTTGCTCCTTGATCGCGCCCGTCCACAGCGGGGATGTGTTCGATCCTTGAACTCTAAGCGCCACATAATCAGAACTTGGGAGTGCTTTCCCGAGCTTATCTCCGTGATCAATCCCCTCTCCGGTATAAATAGCAGCCTTGGGGACGCACAAGCCACACTCGAGGAGCAGCAGCAGCAGCAGCAGGAAGCAGTGAAACTGGTAAGCGCCTCAATCCTTCTAGGAGTGTGATGTGCTGGGAACCGTTCCTGGTGAGAGCTGGGGAGTCCTGCCCTGTCTTGGGGCATTGGTGCTACTCTGTGTGGCCCTGCTGCGCTGGGAGCCTCCCTCTGTCCTGGGAGGTTAAACCTGCCCTCGAGTGTAACTGCTGTGAGAGGTGATGGAGGGGAGGCGATATCCTCACCCCACCCTGGGAGAACTAAATCCGCAGCAGCATGGCTGGGAAGCAGAAAGATCATGAGCCCTAGACCCATTAATCTGCCCATTGCCTCCCTCTGGGCGCTTGCTCGCCCCAGCGTAAAGGCACCCAATGGCCTTTGTTACATGGTCTCGCCAGTCAGGCTGGTGCAGAGCCCTGAGACGCTTTAAATGGGCAGGGGCAGAATGGGGCAATGCCAGGTGGGTAAGTGGCTCTCCCCTGGGGGACAGTGGGGGGGGGGGGGAGGAGGATAATGGCAGAAGGAGCCAGGCTTGTCCCAGATTGTCACCGTCCTCCAGTGATTAATCATTGAATGGCATCTCCTCGCTCTGTTAAGCAGTTTCTATTTGTTCACTTGAGCCCCAAACTCTTTTGCCTTCTCCAGGTTGAGAGACGCAGCCGAAGATGAGATCCGCTGTGATCCTCGCCCTGTTGTTCCTCACAGGTAGGGCCAAAAACCAGCACAAGTCTCGAACCAGACACCCCTGAGCAGGGAGGGCGGAGGAGCTGTGTTCAGCCCAGACCATGTGATGCCCCAGAAGTCAGAACTCTGGGCAGGCCCGTGTGCCTTGCTGGGCAAGGGGCCAGGCCCAGGCAGCCTCTGCAGAAGGCATCCAGCCTAGAGTGACTCTAAAAGCGGTTTGGAGACTACCCTGCTGTAAACCAGCACCTGTCTGGGCCGGGGAGCAGAGACGAGCTATGTGCAGCAGGGAGAGCGTGGGGCACGCTCGGGTCAGAGAGGAGGGCAGGGTGGGCCAGCGGGCAGAGGTTTGGGAGCTATAATCTTGGCTGGGCCAGGTAAGCCCACTGCCCGCGGTTGCAGGACCCAGCCTGTAACCTCTCCAAACCAGAGATGTGTAAAACCAGCCAGGCTCCCCCGGGAAACCCTTCCTGCCTAGGGGGCTGGGACAGCCGGGCACCGTCCACCAAGCCTGCGGCTGGTAACACAAGCAGCTGCCAGCTCCAGCCCAGGGGCAGATCTGGGCAGGAGGTGGTGAGTGGCTCCGGAGTGGGGTTTGGGGAGCTGGTCCTGAGCCCTCTTGTGCTTTCCTTGCAGGGACTCAGGCCCGCTACTTCTGGCAGCATGACGACCCGCAGACACCCTTGGATCGCCTCAAGGACATGGTCCAGGTCTACCTGGAGACCGTCAAGGCCAGTGGCAAGGAAGCCATTACCCAGTTTGAGACCTCGGCAGTTGGCAAACAGCTTGAGTAAGTAGCTGACTCTGGGGAGGAGCGGGCTGTTAGGAGGTCAAGCACCAGGCCCTATAGCCTTGGGCCCTACACGTGCAGTCTGTGATGCCCCCGGTTGTGAAGCCACCCCCTGACATGGCGCCACTGCCCTCTGCTGGTTGGAATGGGAACTGCTCAACTGTGTGTCAGGCCCTAGGACCCAGCAGCTAATGGTGACCACAAAGCCCTTCCCCTGGAGCTAAGGAGGGCTTTGTCCCTGCTGTCACGGCGGGGTGCCCAGTGGCCCACACTGCACAGCAGCTGACAGCTGTGACACCCCTCACCTTTGCGGTGGATCTAGCACTCTCCCTCCTTCCACCACCAGAAAACGGAGTGAGCCTTGTCGTCCCCAGTTTTGTCTGGGGAAACTGAGGCATGGAAGAGGTTAAATCTACCATTGACTTGACCCAGAGCTGGGGTGTCAGCCACTCTGAGGCCCCGGGCGTCTCAAGCTGGGCACCCAAAATGTGTGAACCCTTCTGAAACTGTGGGGTGGGGTGATTGGCCAGAGGGAGGCGGTGTTAGAGCTGGGATTAGAGCGCGGGAGTTAGTCCCCATCTGCCCCGGCTGTACCGTCCCATCCCTTCTGGGAACAAGGCTGCATCTCCAGGGCCTCCCTGGGCTTTGCCAGGAGAGAGGCCATGCAGCAGTGTGTAACCCCGGCCCCGTTGTCTTCTCCTGCAGCCTGAAGCTGTCTGACAACCTGGACTCCCTGACGGGGGCGGCGCAGAAACTGCAGGAGGACTACAAGGAGACCTGGGAGCTGTGGGTGAAGGACACCGAGGCCCTGAAGAAGGAGCTGACCAAGGAAATGGAGGAGGTGAAACAGAAGATCCAGCCCTTCCTGGAGCAGTTCTACAAGAAGTGGACAGAGGAGCTGGAGATCTATCGCCAGAAGCTGGCCCCCATCGGCGAGGAGCTGAAGGAGATGACCAAGCAGAAGGTGGAGGTCCTGCAGCAGAAGCTGACCCCCGTGGCTGAGGAGGCCCGGGACCGGCTGCGCGGGCACGTGGATGAGCTGCGCAAGAACCTGACCCCCTACAGCGACGAGCTGCGCCAGAAGCTGACCCAGAAGCTGCAGGAGATTCGGGAGAAGGGCATCCCCCAGGCTGCCGAGTACCAGGCCAAGGTGATCCAGCACCTCACCGCCTTCCGAGAGAAGGTCACGCCCCTCATGCAGGATTTCAAGGAGCGCCTGACCCCCTATGCTGAGGGCCTCAAGACCCGCTTCCTGACCCTGCTGGACAACCTCCGAAAGAACATGGCCCAAGCCAACTAGTGGCACCGGGCCAGGGACTGACACCCCCTCCCCTAGCCACAATGAGCCCCCAATTGATCAGCCACTGCCCTGCGTTCCACTGCTGCTAATGCGCGTCTGGGTGAAGGCACCAGGTGTGCTCACCTCCCTCCTCCTCCCGGCGCCCTCAGCGCTGGGCCAAGTGTCTCGGCCCTTTGTGGCTGTCACTTACTGATCGATCGCTGTAGAACGAGGGTCCCTCTGCTGGGGGGCGGGGGCTGGGGTGGAAACCAGCACACGGCGAAGGCCAGTCTGCTGGGAACATCCTGCCCAGAGCTCTCCTGCCTGTTCCAGGCTCGGGGCTCCCACCTGCCCCCATCTCCCCCTCCCCGGCTCGGGGCTCCCACCTGCCCCCACCTCCCCTCCCCGCCCCCCCCACAGAACTCTTCATTCTTGTTTCTTTGTTTTGTCAAATAAAAGTGATTTAAGTTACTGGGAGCTTGTGTTTGCAGGGGATTTCCCGGGGGGCCGGGAATGCACTGTGCGGGGCAGGGAGCACCAAATGGGAGACTGAGGGCACTGTGGGGCAGGGAAGACATAGCTCCGTGGGGACTCACGGGGGTCCATGGGCTGCAGGTTACTGAAGGGAAGGGAGGGGCTGTGCAGCAGGAGGGAGGTTGGGGGGCAGGGGGCGAGGGGACCCTGTGGGGAGCCCTCCCAGGTCCCCCCTTTCCCACGCTCTAGCAATCCCAGTGCAGGCCTGCAGAGCACCCGGAGCTGAGCGGGCGGTTGCCCCAGGGTGGCTCTTTCCAAGGGGCATTGATCGGAATCCCCTTCCCACGGGACCCAGCCGCTGAGAGGGCCGTGCACAACGCCCAGCCCAATCTGAGAGCTCTGGGAGCCCCGAGGGAGACGTGGATGTGGGGCTGGGGGGCGCTGGGCAGCAGACATGGGGTGAGGCCACTGTAGCTCCCCAGGGGAATGAGCCCCTCAGGCTCAGCCGTGTCCCTTGTGCATGGAGCGGCTCAGCTGGGCTGTTATAAACCTGCTTCTGAGGGGAGCAGCAGCCGGCCGGGGCTGGCAGCTCGGGGGCAGGATCTGGTCCTGGCTGGTCGCAGGGGTGGTGCAGAGCGGTCAGAGCTGAGGGCCGTTAGCGGAGCTGGCTAAGACCAGAGTGGGTGGGGCACAAAGGGTTGATTTGCCAGCTGAGGCCTCACCAGAGCCGAGCAGGGTGGGACGGTTAGCTTGGCGTGAGCTGGGTCCTGCAAACTCAGCTCCTCATGCTCCTGCAGCCATCTTGGTGGTTAGTGTGTGTGCGACACCCAGCCCACATCCCAGCATCACACCAAGATGGGGCGTCCGGCTGGGCCCTGGTGCCAGCTGCCCCCTCTATAGCAAAGCGGAAGGGCTCGGTGCACTGCTCTCTGGTCACTGCTGTTGAGACAGCATCTGGCAGCCCGGCAGTGCTGGCTGTAGCCTGAGCTACAGGCCTTGTAGGCCTTGTTTCTGTTTGCTTTCAACCTGCTGGGGCCAGCGCCAGGCCATGAGCCCACTGTGGGGGTCTGCCGCACAGCAGGTGTGTGTCTACAAGGTGGGTGTGTGTGGGGGGGGGGCAGCTGTGTTGCACAGCTCTGGGGTTTGCGTACAATAACCGCCCACCCAGCTATGCTGGCTGTAGGTTTTGCCAAATCCACATCTTGACGCTAGCCGGGAGAACAGCCACCCTGCGGTCTGGCCCAAGATTTTCAGACACCCTGAAGGGGCCTGATCCTGAGCAATTTCTGAAAATCCAGCCCCCTTTCTGGAGTCTCGGGCGGGGAGCCCCCAACCACAGCAGTGGCCTTGTTCTCTAGTTCAAAGCATATTCTAGGCTGCCATTGTTAAAGCAGCATCTTCCTCTAGGTAACCAGCACCCCATTCCCCTGTCCTCCTTCCACTAGAAACGCAGCTGCGGTTCCTAGGTACCCGAGAAGCAGGTGGCACAAGGGGTGGTGGTGGGGGATGCATGGAAGGCCTAATGCTGACTTCATTCATTGCCATGCAGCGAGCTGGGATGTGCCAAGCATGGGCGTCCGCCTGCATAGCTGGAGGGTTGGGGCTGGACTGGGAGCCAGGGCACGCACCTGAGTCCTAGCCTGGGGGATGGTGATTCATTGGCCAGTAAATCCCATTCTGGGCAATTGTTCCCGAATCCTAGCTGGTTCCGATGAGTCTAAGTGGTAATGAAAGAGGTGCCGGGGCTCAAGCAATTTTGTTTACATTCATAACTGATGCAGCAAGCCCAGAGGTGCCTGGGCTATGAACTGCCAAAATCCAGCACTGCCTTTACCTAATGATGGGTACGGCACAGAAAATGCAAACAGCTTCTCAAACGCTGTCCTGCTTGCTCCTGGGCGCTGTGTACATGCTCTCGCTGCAACACTTCACTAAAGGCCACCAAATGCATCTCAAGTTTACTTAATTTTATTGCAAGATACAAGACAAACTTTGAGTTATGTTTTATAAGGAAAAAAAAACCCAGCCCCTCCAAACCAACACACCAGCTGGTACCAAAACTCCTGGGCCCCAGTGGAAGTAGCGTATGAACACGCCACGCTGAGTGGACAGTGAGTTACTGGACAGACAGGCAGGCAGGCAGGTGGGACAGCGCTTAGCTGGAAGGATGCTGGGCTCTCTGCCCAGAGCAGGGAGTCAATTTGGCTACAATTTGCATTGCACATCCTGCACCTGCACTCACTCAGCTGAGAACCCGACCAGAGCTGCTGATGTGGGGCTCACTGCCCAGGTGGCTGATACTCCCAGAGCGCAGAGAACTTGTCCTTTAGCACATCCCAGAACTGGTGTACGTCCTCAGCACGCATATTGACCCAGTCCCTGAAGGATTAAACACATGGGGGGGGGAGCAGAGGAGGAGGTTATATTAAAAGGGGGGCCCTATCTGCAAAGGTCTAAGATAGCCACTTTAATAATATGACTCGGTGCAATCAAGCTGTGAGTTACACCCATGCGGGGGCAGAGAGGGAAGGACCGTATATGGGGTGTTGTGGGTCTGGGGCTGTCCCTGTGCTATAAAATGCTGCTTTAATAAGCAGTGCAGGGTCGCTGCAGGGTGGGGCACGGCTGTTATAATCACGCTGCCTAGCCTGGAACTCTTTGAAACCCCTGGGCCACAGGGCATCCCCCTGGGGGCTGGGGATTGTGCTGGACTGGTGGGACTGGTGCACTTCGCCACAGAACAAGTGCAGCAGGGGCAGTAGCAATGCCAGCTTCCCCCATCCTGTCCTGGGGTCACAGAGGGACCATCTGTCCATGGCCCATTCAGTCCCTGCCCTTGCACTGAGCTGCCAATTAGAAGACCGATTCATGGGGTATTTTGTGTCCTCAGAGGGACTGGACTGAGCCCCCTGCTCTGTCTCATGCCTAAGCCCCTGAATGAACCAGTTTGCATTCTGGGGCAGTCAGAGCGCTCGGGGTTTGCTGCACCCCATTGCCTAGGTGTGACGGCTCCCTCTCCCTCTCCCAGCAGAGCACCCCCAGTTCCTGGCAAAGGCGGCCGGGTACGAGCCAGCCAGGTGTTTGCCTCTCGGGAAAGGCACTGGGAGCAGACCAGCTGCTCGGGGGCCTCAGCCAGGACGGGTGCAACTCGGGTGCTGACTCTGCAGTGCCCATGGCCCTAACCTGGGACACTCAAAGTCACAGGAGCTTTGTCACCGGCTTCCTGGGCCCAGGGTTGTACCCCAGCTTGTTCCACACTGGTGAGCAGGGGGCTGAGGGCTCCTGCTCGCTGCTCCCTGGGGCAGATCTCTGCAGCTCCAGGGGCTGCTGGGTACTACCCAGCCCTGTATCTGCCCCTAGCCTGCTCGCCAGGGTTCTCCGGATGCTGGCTGTGCCTGGGCAGGCGTGGGAAGGGGAAGGGCTTGTGGTGAGAGGTGGGGGAGACCCCTGGGCCAGAAGGGATGGGGGGGGGGGCGCACCTGGCCTGCTGAGCCACCTCGGATTCCTGGACCTTGGTGAAGGTGTCCTTGGCCGTCTGAGCCACGTGCTGGACGTAATCTTGCACCTTCTTCACGATGGTTTCCTCCTCCCCGGGGGCCTCCGCCTCTGCAAGCACAAACCAAGCCGTGTGGGGAAGGGAGGTGGGAGGTTCTGGGGGGTATTAACAGGACTGTTGTACGTAAGCCATGGGCGATAACTGTCCTGCTCTACTCGGCACTGAGGAGAGCTCGGCTGGAGTCCTGTGTCCAGTTCTGGCTGCCCCACTTCAGGAGAGATGTGGACAAACTGGAGAGAGTGCAGAGAAGAGCAACAAAAACCATCAAAGGTTTAGAAAACCTGACCTACGAGGCAAGGTTAGCAACCAGAACGTTTAGTCTTGAGAAAAGAAGACGGGGGAGGGACCTGACACCAGTCCTCAAATATGTTAAGGGCTGTTATAAAGAGGGTGGGGATCAGTTGTTCTCCATGTTCACTGAAGGCAGGACAAGAAGTAATGGGATTAATCTGCAGCCAGGAGAGATTTAGGGTAGAGAATAGGTAAAAATGTCTAACTCTGAGGCTAGTTAAGGTCTGGACCAGGCTCCCAAGGGAGGCTGTGGAGTCTCCGGCACTGGAGGTTTTTAAGAACACGTTGGAGAAACACCTGTCAGGGACGGTCCAGGTTCTCTGGTCCTGCCTCAGCACAGGGGCCTGGGCTAGGTGGCCTCTCGAGGTCCCTTCCAGCCCCACATTTCTGTGAATCCCTCTCTGCCTCCTGCTGCATCGTAACTAACAGCACTTTCATGGCTGCGTGATTCCCCTTCCCTCCTCCCCACCTCACCCCCCAACCTGCTCCCCCCCACCCTTCCCATCTCTTGCTTATACCCGATTCCTTCCTCCCTCATTCCCCCCCCAAGTCTGCCCCCCTTTCCCTCGCCCCCAGAGGGGTGGCGGCTCTTACGTGCCACGGCAGCGAGCAGTGCCAGGCCGAGGAGCGCGAGGAGGAGCAGGGCCTTCATGGTGCGGGCTGAGGAGAGAGCAGCAGAGCAGTGAAGGGCTGCAGGGGCCGTCCCAGTGACAGCACCCTCACCCGGCGTAATAGCACCCCCTCCCATGCCCCCCACCCCAGCCGCCCTCTGGATCCAAAGCCAGCCAGCTCCCCGCTGGGTGTGGTGCACCGAGCCCCCCCGGCCTCTCGCTGTGCCCCTCTGGACACGTAGGCACAGCCTGCCCCCGGAGCCAGCGGCTGCAAACCCAGCGGGCTGTACGGTGTCAGGGCCAGCGCTCACGCCCCAGCCCCGCTCCAGCCTGGCATGTGGGGAGCCAGGACGCGAGCGGCCCCCGCGAGTTGAGCTATGGGGGCAGAGCGGGCGGCAGGGTTCAGCTCCACGGCTTGGAAACAAGGGGGCTCAGAAT